AAGGATGCTGTTTCATTGCTATCCAAAATCTTGAAGGACGGCATATAAGTAAGTGACTTCAATTCTTGCTCAGCTTCAGTCTAACTGCAGATCTGTGCAACTTCCACTACAAGGCAAATAGAAGATAAGAGGCGAGTAGCAAATTACCAGAGAGGAAAGAAAAAGTATGTGGACACGAATAGGACCTTAATGTTTGTACATTTATGTTTACTTTCGTTGTACATTGCCATCTACTTGTCTTTATCCTCTGACGAGAACTCTCTATCACCAACCATAAGATTCCTCAATTGCACGAAGATGATCTCACAGTTTGTTTAGCAGATAACTGATTGTTTCACCACAGTTCCTTATTTTATCATTTATAATTCTGTTGTTACATCAGGCACTCAACAAAATGTTTGCACGTTAAATACATTGATGCACAAGTAGCACAGGAAGCTAGGGTGGCCGACAGAACAGAAAGTTATTCCAGAACAACTGATTGTTTGATAAAATGCTGCGAAAACACTTTCGTATAACCGAGATGTCTTGTAGTTCTGTATAGCCAATTTGAATTCGAGATGAACTAAGTGCCACTTATTCTCCACTTTCAGCGATCGACGTGAGCACTATCCTAGTTACTTCTTCAGCTTCTCTTGAACATATAAGCTGCTAAAGGCTCCTCTCGATAACCTGAATCTACCACTTGTCAGTTATTACTTCGCCCACATTTATACTTAGTTTAGTCATATTGCAGATAATAAATCCACAAAATCTATAGCAAGTAGTTTCATCATCAATTGGAAGCCTTCGTTTGCATCCACTCCTTGCAGGGTTGACTAGGCAGAAGCCAACGCCGTTGTATCATGAGCAACATATTAAGTTTGGTTACCCTTGAGGGATCATTAGATATCCAAACGTGCATCTCTGTTTGACAGCGCCGATTTTGAAATGCACGTGCCATTCTGTACGGCTTATTTGTTTTCAGTAAACCGAATTCCGGTAGAGCTTGGAATAATTTATCCCCTTTCTGTTTATTTGTACCCACTGCTGAATTCCAGACAGTGCCGTGGACATTTAGGGTTTGGAGGAATGTAGGCTTGGTAACTGAATTATATTGAGTTGTACCTTCACATGTTTTTTCTATATTCCTATTATCTGGGAACACACTTGAAAGCGAATGAATCTAATATCACCCATTCACTACCATTAAATTAGAGCGGCCAAGGCTATTGGTTAGTCCATTTTGTGACCAATATATAGGTGGCCACGCAACAATCGTTATAGCTCCCCGTTATCAGTGCCTACAAGTTTAATAGCTCTGTAACCCTCAAGCGACATAAGCACCTTGCCTCTTAGACTACAACAAATGTCGTATCGTTGATTACTCCAAAATTCTAGGTTTGTCAAGTCGTCGGCACTAAATGACTCAGTGGGCTTTTAGTAACAGACTCTTCTACTAAAATATATACCAAAACCGGCTACCCTTGAGCGCATGACATTATAAGACATTTTGAGAGTAAGTTTTTTAAGCATTCCGGGTGGCAAGTAGAGCAGGGAAACCTGCTTAAGTGCATGGAAGAGTATTCATCCTTCCACATAACTCAAAATATAAAGGTAGACTGCAAATCACGAATAAAATATAATTCACGCCTCGTTAATTGCCTCACCTTCCCGAATTCCTTAATCACTAGATGTCTCTCAGTATCCACAGTGTTCCATGCCTTAGAGACCCAACGACAAACAAATCATGGAATAAATATAAAAAGTTATGTAGCTTGTAGAGATCAGTATCGGTATTTAACAGGCAAGTTATTCAGCAAGTGGTAAGGCAAGCTTAAGATTATTAGGGATACTTAGTTGAAGAAACATTAGTGAATATAACTTGTAATAAGCTGTATGTTAGATATGTCGGTTGAGAGAAACAGAATAATAGTAACTAGCTCACTTTTGCAGGTTGATGCGAATTTGTGACTAGAAAGACAGAAATGCCTGATGAAGTGATCCGGTTAACATGCTGACCAGTCATGTTGCTCATACATGACGCAGTTTATGGCATTGATTATTCTATTCACTCTAGTAATGGCCTATCGAGCAATATTATAAACATCATGGAGATATTTATTCCAGGTGCGCTGCAGTTCTAGGAAACCAGTCAGTCACTCCGCCTCGACGGATTTGAACACGTTTTTCGGCAGGCTGCAACTGGAATTGACGTTCAGGACTGTTGTGTGGCTATATATCCAGCCACGTGTGAGATTTGGCCACACTACCTGCTGACTACATAGCCTAGCCCATTTAATCTGATAAACAAGCTGTTCTTAACACCACCCCAGGTAGTGAAGGAGAATATAACACCTACGGTTGTTCAAAGGCATATTTGCTAGCGACAGCATGGGGAGGATATTGAGATACACAACCACACTACAACTCAGTAGCCTCCATCTTGCCTCTTTAACATCCCCTTGTCTGCAACCTGACCCAATCAACGGATAAACAGATCAACCACTGAAAGTGAAAAGGCTGAGATTCAAGTGGTCATGACTTCAAGAAATGATAATTCATTTTCACAGCATTAAAATGACATATGCAACTTAGTAGTCTAGTGAACTTTGCTTGCATTTTAAATGATGGTTGACTGGTCGAATCCAATTTTGAATAACAACACTATGATGGAGGCACAAACAGCTAACAAATACCAAATATAATGAAACACAAGTACTAGATTTCATTACTAACCATCACTTACGTTGTTCAGACAGTTTGCAATTTTTAACTGTAGTCGAAATTACATTAATTACAAGCTCTTCTAAATTTGACCGGAAAACTATTGTCTCCTGGAACTATTAAACTGCCGCAAATAACCTTACTTCCCAAATCAGTTCCACTGCAACCTACTGATTATTGCATATGATACGAAAACTGGGTCATAGACAGCATTCTATCTGCTGATCTCTCCTGGTCGTCTCATATCTTAGCAATTTCTAAGAAAATATTCCGTCTTACCTTCTACATTAGGAAGTTAAAACATTCCGGTATTACCCAACCCTTACTCCTACAATTCGTTAATTCTCGCATCCTGCCTATTATTCTCTATTGTTCCCCCTTAGTTTTTCCAGGGCTACTGAAGAAAGACTATTACATATTACTCAGGATGTTAAAGCTTGTCAGCAGGGTAAGCACGAGCCACTTAACCAGCTTGTTAATATTCTGGTTGACAGGCACTTGGACTCATGTGAAAAATGGGCCAAATCCATTTAATCTAACTCACACCACCCTCCTCACTCACAACTCTCCCCTTGCATCTCATCAGGTAAAACCAGAAGCCAATATAGAAAATTATATGCTCGCACCAGCAAGCAAGTACAAAAACTCAACCATACCCTACTTAGCTCGTGTTCTGTGTGATAAAGAAAGCATTAGGCGTGACACCTATAATTCATTAAATAGTCAGTAGAACAACTGGATCTCGTCTTTCCAACCCACATCATCAATAGGTACAACATTTTATTTCTTTCTTTTCCTTTTCTCTCTCTTCGTTTTCCGTTATGTGCTGCTTTGTCTCTTTCTCTCGCTTACGCCAGTTAACAAGACAGCTCCCACTTTTCTAACACCTTCAAACACTGTTTCAGCTTTACCTTTGCTACTGACATGCCAATGTATCGTTGTAATAATGAACTGTGGTTTCCTCAATCTATGTAGAATTCTATTTATTGATAATGTACTAACTGGATGCAATACTGTAGAAAAAAGCTGAGAATTCCATTCTGTATCACAAGTACTGTTTTGGAATAAAGCAAACTATTATTATTATTATAGTGGAATGTGAAGCACTTATGAAGGAGACACGCGGATATAGTTCAATAGTAGGTTTATGATCGACGAATATAATTGCGGCTCGCTTTTCAAGAAGGGGTTTAGATTTTTCACTAAGTTAATGAGCCTTCTCACACTAATAGTCCAATATGTGTAGTAAACTGAACTATAGCCTCGAGTATCGTCTATCAACTGTTTGTGGATTACAACCCCGTGATTTCGTTTTCGTTCTATGCGTTCACAGTGGAAAATAAAGCTTCAGTAGCAGTGGGATTACAGCTGCACACCCAACTCACTTTCATTCCCAGCTCAATGCAGCATTTAGTGGCGAGTTGGCTGGTAATCCAGGCCGCAGCAGGTGCGTGACTGGTTACTATTGTACCGTAGGACGACTGACGTAACGACAGTAACTGCTACCCTTTCAGTTTCAGGATAGATATGCCTATAAGCTGACAATAGCCCGAAGTCGAATACGATCGATGAATACCCGTTTTCACATATGGCTCTGTGGAAAACACTGACCTTAGCTTTCACATAAACCATCTCGAATTTAGAGTCTAAGTGGCAGTTGACTGACACACAGGTTAGCGGGATGTTGGCAAAGATGTCTGCTCACTTGGAACAGAATATCTATAGAGAGCGAATAATGATGCATCTAAATGAGTTGGATGTTGTCTCACTGAGAGGTGAAAAAGTAGCTATATGAGTGGTTTTGGTTTAGTTCCTCTAGAGACTGAGTGGTCAGTGTTTAATAGACGCTGAATTACACAGCTCCTTACTGACCCATTGAGGCTTCTTGGTTGCTGCGCGAGATAAACGCCCTCGAATGATTTGGATGAAATACACCAGTGAGGCAGCCACTCCATCGTTGGGCTTGTTCTCTTACCCTCTTTTTCTTCTGTGTTCATCAGTTTCCGTTCTTCTAGTTGACGTACGCTGAATTCTCTCGCACTAATTTCTCCAGACTTCAAGTTTCTGAGCACTGATTTCTGTGGAATGTTTATCAGCCTAACCGGACGGCTGCCTCCTGAGCCTCAGAAGCACCAGTTCCCTGGAACAAACATTACATTCTTTGATATGTAAACTAATGTACACCCTCTCATTGCGTTCAGGAAAGCTCCATCACTTGACAGACTAGGCCATGATAGAATACACCGAAATTTTGGATTATTCTGAGACGATGAGAGACGAGCTTCAGAGGAATAGTTGGTTTCTGTGCTCGTCACAAAGACATTAAATATTGGATGACCTTGCCGTTTGCACAAATTGTCCGTTGTAGCGTTATCACGCCTCGAATATAGAAATGAATGGGAAGGTAACGAAGAAGTCCGTGGGTAGGTCTTTGCCTGCGTAAATTGTTATGTATATTTTAGGAGTAAAAAGAAAGTTATCTGATGGTTCTAAACCGAAGGTGTCAATAAAAAAGCGTAGGTGTCTTCGGCTTCTCAAATGAGTTTCCTTTATAGCCAAGTTGCTTCCCTCTGTTCGGTTATCTGACCAGCCTCCAGCACGCAAACCTCAATGGACCAATCGAGAGCGTGTTTTGGTTATCTCTTCCAGAGGCATATCTTATGTTGGCCGTCATCTTATGAAAGATTTGACACGTATGTTACCACATAGTAAAACGGACTCAAAACTTGATGACAAAAAAGGGATAACCACTCTTAACGAGTTGGCAGAAATGAGCAACACAAATAAGGTAACAGAGGTTTCATATGTTCATTAACTTTATCCTAATTAACCTGACAGAACTCAATTAAGTAAATCTTTAATCGATAACGTTGCATTTGTAAAGTCACCGGTTTTCATGGTCTTTGATGAATTACATAAGTTCGAATTATTGTGGTAGTTGTAACTTTAAAGATGCATGCTCCCTTAAACGAGCTGCTACCACTTATTTTGTCAATGAGTTCAAAACGTTGGTTAGTGCGTTGTGGCTTACGGGTCATTTTCAGATCATCTGTATGATGAATCACAGGTGTTTAATTAGTTACTCTTCACTTACAATACGATGTTCCAGCATAAGTCTGCACTTGTACCAGCCTAAATTCTTCATTTTCTCTTTTTGAAAAAGTGGCATTCCTGTTTAATCTTTTCTAGTGTATCTGTTTGCAAATCATAAACTACTTACCAGGCAAAGTACTCTGCTCGCTGTGTTATATTTAAATGTCATTTGAATACGGCAAGTGCTTCAGCTACATTTCTTATGGTGCGACGACGTTTGTTCATTTGTAACTCACGATAACCTCTAATTTCATTTCTGAAAGTGTATTTTATTCCCACTGCACATTTCTGTACATTCGTCGGATATGTTCGAAAAGCACCGATGTCCTTATCAAGAATAAGCCTCCATGCTATAATTTCTGCAGTATTTGAAAGTGATAGACTTTCGATTGTTCATTAATAGAAAGGAAAAAAATAGGTCTTACTGTTGTTCCCTAGAAGTAACTATCAGTTTTTGTCTTCTATTCTGATAGTATCCTGTTTAACCTCATTCACTACCTTCTGTTATGCAAGTTGTTTATATCTGGACTTTATCTCCTATGTTAAGTGGTATAGTAGGGCGAGTAATATTGAGGTTGGGTGTAGAGTGCTAGGTAAGGAGGGGAAATCAGTCGTTAAGGTTATAAAGTTACGCCGATTAAGATGGTTAGGGTATGTGTTACTCATGCCTAGCCTAGCCACCGCCTTTCTCGACGGTCAATGTCAGCGGATATGGAATTAGGTTGCAAAAGAGCTAGTGGTGGTCAAATCAAAACATGGCATCAGTCCATGAAATCTTTGGCAGTTAGTTTGAGCTACATATGGAGGTGTAAACGTTCTGGTTGGGTCCTCATTATTCTAAGAACCAGTGTCTGGAGAGACTCAAAACCTTAATGGAGCAGGCACATTCACTCTTTATGACCTGCCTCTATCTAATAAAGCCGTATTTTTTTTCAATGTTACCATCCTTTTCCCCTCACATTTCTGCTTATTATCGTACTTTTGAATCTCTTTAGTCTCTTTTCTTATTTTGTGTGGCAAGTCGAACTGTTGCACTTCTGTGCAAAGTTCTATGCTGAAACTAGTCAGTCAGTGGGGTTTTTCATAATCAACGTTTGCCTGTTTTCATGACTGTCAAATCTGGATAATCAGCTCACACTTAACACTTAGTTATTAGGGTTGTATGCATTTTTGTTGCAGAATGGTATGAATTCAACTTATAAAGACTTGATTTATGAGTGTTTACCCATCCTGTTCATAAATGGCCTATCAGTCTGTGTGTTTAACTCTGTATTTCTTTCACTAAATGCGTGAAATCATTTGTATCATTTTCATCATGTTTTTCCAGTCTGATAACCGTACTGATATCAATTCTGTTTAACTAGATATTGATGTGGGTCTACTCAGGTTCTGTAGGTAGCCAGATATGTAATTTTGAGTAAGATGCGGGATTAATCCTATTAATTACCTGACTAAACTCTTGTTTCAAGTAAATAACTGACCAATATTGTTTCTTCTTTTTGTTGAAACTTTAATTTTCTGGTTGTCCGTCTTAAGACTCCAAATTGGACATATCAATAATATCTTAATTGTTAGTTTATTTAGTAGTTGGCATCCTATTCTATTTGTTACTCGTCATTGAGTTATGGTATTCCCAGGAGGACCTGTATCAGTCGTATGTTGATATCGTACGTATTAGTCGTTCAGAACGCGGCCTACATTATTCACTCTTAGCCGGTGTAATTATATATTTCCTTTCGATCAATGTCTTTCTTGTCACATTCCTTTTTATTTTCAACCTGTACTGGAAACTGAAACCAACTAATCTTTGTGTGCGTTGAATACTTTCTGTTTAATTGCACTTGTAATAATTAACTAACTGTCTGTTGTAGTGATAAATACATAGAAATAGTATTCTATGTAGTCTAATTCCATCTGTTTGTGAATTTCAATTTTTGGGGTAATAGTTTTTTTTGAAATTTTAAACATGTGGCTTAGCATGTCCACTATCCTTATGTCTAACAACAAATCATGCCTTGTTACATTACTTACTTTACTTCGGCTATCTCCTATGGAAGGATGAGCCGGCTTCATGAACATCTCGAATAGAGTCGTTTGTAAGAGAGTTCATGAAGTTTCATGGGAATTTGGTACGAGTGATGTCCCCAGAATCGCTCGGCCTTTTGTTTTAGAGTGCAGCTCTAGCATTTACACAACCAAGTGTGACCTACAAAGCAGGAAAAGTGGAGTAGGGAGTCCACTATCCATTGGCAGCTGGTGACCGGAGTTCGGTTCATAGGCCTTTTTGAATGGGGCCAGACATCCAGGACATCCAACAAGCCCTTTGTCCATACGTCTGCCGGTGAGCTCCAGTGAGCTTCATAGGCCAGTCGTTGGAGGTTTGGAATCAGTGTTTAGCCATCTCCCCTAGACTGTCATCCAGTGGACAGTTACATTAGTGCTACTGTTGTTATAAACAATGTATACATGTTAGTATAAGTGGAAGACATGAAAAGCTTGGTCAGTTGTCTTTGATCATAAGTGCCGGCGTTCTATCTCCCGTGTTATGTGGTATAATGTGAGCAATGTTGAGGTTAGGCGTCCAGTGCTACGTAAGGAGGGGAAATGAGTCGACGAGACTGTGAAATTACATCGACTGAGATGGTTAGGACATGTGTTACGCATGCCTAGTCACCTCCTTCCTCGACGGGCAATGTTAGCTGATATAGGGTCAGGCTGGAAAAGAGCTAGTGGTGGTCAAATCAAAACATGACATCACTCAATGAAATCTTTGGCAGTTAGTTTGAGCTACATATGGAGGTGTGAACTTTCTGGTTGGGGTCTTCGGTACGGTAAAAACCAATGGTTGGAAACAATTGGTGATATGACTCAAAATCCTCGTTCTCAAAGGCTGGCTCAGATGCATCCACTCCTTGAGATTTATAATATCCAATAAAACGATATTGTTCTTCGATACTACTATTCTTTTTGCTTCATATCTCTCACTTTTAAATCTTTCTCTACTCTCTTCTATTGCTTTGTGTGCTACATAGAGTGTGGTAACTAGAATTGCTGCACATCTGTGCAAAGTTCTACATTGAGTCCAGTCAGTCAGTCAGTCACTATAAGTGTGTCTCACTTGAAGTTGTTCACACCATCAGGTTGATTTTATTAATTCGTCATGACCATTTCCCAAAATATTTGTCAGAAGCAGGAAACCATTTAGTATTATTAAATAAGACACTAACAATGATTCGTAACGCTTCGTTGCCGTCACGTTACATACTGTGTTTACTGCTGTGTATGTCGATCTGTTTTTTTTTACCAGAGGCTTCATTTTAATTTGCTTTGTTAAATAAAAAAAAATAAAAAAATAAAAAAAATAAAAAAATAAATAAAAAAATCGTAGTCAGGACGATGAAAATATAATAAAAAGATGCCTTTGCTGCCATTCTCGTAATGTAGGGAAGGATAATCAAATGATTTCCTCGACACTTTTACTCTTGTGGTATCCTGGTGAAGTTTTATATATATATTCTTTACATAATTAAATTAAAATTAGAAAAAACCCAGACTTGGTACATCACGGGCACCAAGGTTGTGTGCCTTGTGCTGCGGGTTGGCCACCCCTCCGCACAACTCTTGAAATGCTCCCATATGACCGGGCGTCTTACATAGCCTCTACTGAGGAAGTCCTACTCACTGCCTTCACGTGGCGGAGGTGCTTTTCACCAAAGTGAGAGGGCGAAAGCGGATGCCCGGCGCTCTTCACCGGGTTGACTGTCCATTGGATGACAGTCTAGGGGAGATGGCTAAACACTGATTCCAAACCTCCAACGACTGGCCTATGAAGCTCACTGGAGCTCACCGGCAGACGTATGGACAAAGGGCTTGTTGGATGTCCTGGATGTCTGGCCCCATTCAAAAAGGCCTATGAACCGAACTCCGGTCACCAGCTGCCAATGGATAGTGGACTCCCTACTCCACTTTTCCTGCCTTGTAGGTCACACTTGGTTGTGTAAATGCTAGAGCTGCACTCTAAAACAAAAGGCTGAGCGATTCTGGGGACATCACTCGTACCAAATTCCCATGAAACTTCATGAACTCTGTTCATGAAGCCGGCTCATCCACCCGTAGGAGATAGCCGAAGTAAAGTAAAAAGTAAGTAAACAAGCTAATACGTCACCCGATCTTTTCGGATTTTGGAGTCCATGTACGCCATAGGTTTGGAATCAGGATTTTTCAGCTCCCGTCAACAAACCGGCATGTCCACCAGCCCGGTTGTAAGCACCGGACGTTCGTATTTGCCCTTTCACTTTTGTGAAGAACACCCACTGTGGTGTGAATGCAGTGAATAGGGCTCACCCGGCAGAGGCTATGAGCAGGTGCCACACGAGGCAATTTGAACAGCTGCATTTCTTTGCAAAGTCCTATATTAAAAACTCATTTGAAACCTTATTTCAATATACCGAAAAGTTCAAAATTATGGCTCACTGATCAAGAAATTGAACGCTTATTTCAATGGTAACTTTCCTTCGTAATTTTAACAAAACGCTAAGATGTATGCTGCGTGTATCGTGTAATGTATTTGTTCAACGCATTTTAGACGATCTCATCACACACACACGCAAGTATTTGCTATAGGAGGTCATATGATTATGATAAAACCGCTTTTATATGTTCAAAAACAATTTGTAACCCATTAAACCAACCTTCGTAAGTTTTTCGATAGTAGAATAGAGGTACTATTATCCTCCCTTCTTTAGTATATTGATCTCTATTCCTACTTTAACCTTCAACAGAGTCTTTTAACCTGATCAATATCTATTCATTTACCCCTCAACACTTTCTTATTTTCATATAAATTCCTATGATAAGTACTTGTGTGCGTGTGTGTGATGTTATTGTTTGTAATATTTTGCGCAAATACACTAGGTGATTCAGATAAAATATGTTTCGTTGGAATTATTAAGGGGAACTATGACTTATCATCAGTTAATCTAAGCCACGTAGGAAGGTGTAGACTTCCTGGTTGGGGTCCTCGGGACGGTAAAAACCAATGGTTGGAAACAATTGGTGACATGGCTCAAAATCGTTCTCAGTGGCTGGTGCAGATGCATCCACTCCTTGTCACTTATGATTTCCAATTAAACTGTTTTGTTCTCCGTTATTACTATTCCTTCGTCTCACACCTCTGTTTACTGTCTCTATTATGCATTTCTTCTACTTTCTTCTCTTGCTTTGTGTGCTACAAGGAGGGAGTGTGGTGACTTGAACTGCCGCACATATGTGCAAAGTTCTATGTCGTAAACAGACAGACAGGATGGCCTATCAATCTAAGTTGTTGACTTCCGACCAGTTGGTCACAGATTGAGTGAGACTGCACTCTTCCCACTGAGGTTTTTGCAGCCAAACAGGTATCATCAGTCTTCACACACACACAATAAATGTATCTCATCGCCAATGGCACAGAATTGCAAGTGATTATTCAGTAGTGTTTCATTTTCATTCAGGGAACTAATTGTTTCAGTGTTATTTTAGAAGAAAAAAAATGTATTTTAACCTCATTAAGATTTTCGATTTCATTTTTTGTCTTAAGGTTTTATATTTTGAAGCTCGTAAAAAGAAAGATTTATACTTATGGCTTAGTTGTGTACCAAATGGACCATCAGCTAAATTTCTTGTTGAAAATATTCGTACAACAGCAGAATTAAAGTTGACTGGAAATTGTTTGAAAGGCAGTCGTCCTATCCTAGCATTTGATTCATCCTTTGAAGAGTCAAACAAGCCTCATATACAACTGTTACGTGAATTATTTGTACAGACAATGGGTACACCGAATCATCATCCACGGTCACAACCATATATAGATAAAACATTCACATTTGTTAACTTCAACGATCGTATATGGTTTAGAGTTTATCAAATTGCTGAGGAAAGTGGAGCACTAGTTGAAGTTGGTGAGTGTATTAACCTTTCATGATATGTATATATTCAAATATTCTGTTGTCGAACCATAAAACTTTTGTTTTTTTCCTCAAATACCAAAATGAAATTTTCTTTTGAATGGTTACTTCCTACTTAATTAAAAGTTCAGTAGTCTAATGATATAGAAGAATATATTGTGATAACATGATGTGTGTATGTATGTGCTATGGTGGTTGTTTCACAATGATAGTGGGTTGGCCAACTGCGCGGAAGATTTCGGTTCGATGGGTGCATTCCTAGACCTCGCTTAGTTTAATAACCGAGCAGTAAATCCATGAAAGAGGGAGGATAGAGCGTAAGGCTAATAAAACCATAGCTACCGAAAATTCAAAGCTTGAAGCCCGTAAGTTCCACTCGGAAAACTGGCTGCAACCCAAAAATTGTAGACAGCAATTTACGTCAATGTTCACGTCCCGAATCCGAGTCATGAAAAAAACGATAACAAAGCTTGTCCTTGAGGAACTCATCAACCAATCACAGCAGACTTAACGTGTGCAAATACGATTCACAGATATATGGCTTAACTTTCTGAGAAACGGTCACAAGCGATGCAGAATAACCTTCAGCAAGAAAACAACCAATCAGATGAGGTTGCTTCTCTGCTAACAATAACGCTGATAATAATGTACATAAAAATCTATAAATATCTGTTGATTTTCTCAATAAACGATCTGTTGCCTGGCCCTTGTCTTCTGTCGTACAATTCACTGTGGAAAAAGTAGAATGTTATGTGCGAAAATTGACAATTTGCTGATTAAAAATTAACCACAGTCATTTTAACTTTACCATCTTTTAGTTCTATATGTGTAAAGCTGTCGAGCTAACTCTTAGTGTATCTATTTTGCTGAACTTAATGGGATATTTGTTAGTCTTTAATTGGTGGATGGTGACTAGCATTGGAATCCAGGATGCGCATTCGTCCTATTTGGGACTCGTCAGCCGGGTGTACCTGCATTTCTCAGTGATTGATGATGTTCCCACCCAGGCTCGAACCCAGTGACCATGGTTTCAAACGCCAAAGCGCTATCCACTAGACCACTTGGGCCACGAGAGCCACCTCTTGTGCAACAGGTCATATTGATTTAATTGAATTTTGGATTTTCCCGTCGATTGATTGGACCGAAGTGCTCGATCCCAGGTTGACATGTCGGCTTCTTGAGCAGATGCTTCTTGTTCATTCAACGGTTTTGCGTACCAACTGAAAGTATATGAGGTAGATTTCACACCTCGTTACCTGATTATTAGGTAGGAAATCAAACCGTACTATCTCATTTTAATTTTGATCATGGATTGATATCATTAATTAAAGAACTGCTGAAAACTAGGGAGTACTGGATACCTGTGACGTCCTAGTTTGAGACTCTTAGCCAGTACGCACCCATTGGGTTTTGGACCGAGGACCTTCCGGTTATAAGGCAAGCTTGTAGATCATTCAACCACTAGAACCCGACTCATTGGCCAGGCCATGGATTCTATCAATTCGTGATTTTAGCGCGACTGGCACCAGCCAGTGTCATCACTGGCGAGTATTTTTCCTCACTCCCAACTGGGTATACCCCACTTGTCATGATTTCTTACTAGAACTAACTCCAGGCAACTTCATCCTGTAGCCAGTCACTGGCGAGCATCGGATTAAATATTTTCAAGAGTTTCGTTTCTTACTATTTCATCTGTTTTTTGACCGCTAATTCTAGTCTCTTTTAATGCTAAATACTTGGAATTGGTATTGTTCAATGTTATGTTCAATGCCATTCTGCGTATAACCTCATCATAACTGATGACCATATCCGTATACCTGGGCGTCGGTGGCACAACGGTAGAATGCTCGCTAACCACGCATGGGGTTCGGGGTCCGATCTCCGGCCGACACACTCCTTTGCCTGGCTAATTTAGTAATAAGACTGGTAAAGAGGGAAGGTTGGGCATGAGACTAGCAACCCCATCCCGTAAAAGTAAATACCATTGCTACTGGAACTTCAAAGCTCTAGCTTGAAGCCCTATGTTCCACTAGGAAAGTAAAGGAATTAAAAAAGATATCGCTGTACTTCTATCGTCTCATATCTTCTACCCTGTAGTGGTTGTGTCTCAGCAGAAAAGTTGGACGGATTCCACTGCACAATACACATGTTCCTTGATGGGTGGTAGTCCTATATCATTTCTCCGTCAAATATTCCAAACAGTAATCAGATTTTCTCCAAAGGTGCCCAGAAAGCTGTAATTTGTCAGCACTCTCACCTTGAAAAGACTATATCATATGCTTGTTCAAATAATTGAAACTTTTCCGTGATAGTAAGTCATTTCTTCAGACGTCAAAACCAAACTACTTCCACATCCAACGGTGTGTCTACAATGGAACTACATAAAAAAATAGTGACAATGTTTTAACCACTAACCATTTCACCTTTCTGAAATGGCAGGACTTGCAGAATCATTCGTTTCAGCCACGAAATTGAAGTCCAAATACCGCCTTATAGTAGCAGCTAGCAACTATACTCCTATAAACTTTTTAAAGTAGTTGACCGCATCACAAGTGTCAAGGAACTTAACCCTAAGTTCCTATTATTTGCGAAGACGCTCCGAATCGATAACTACCAGGAACGATTATCGACTTTAACTCCAAAACACCAGGACTTGCAATAAGAAATTATATTCTTCGGCAGTTAAATTCGATATCATTACAAAGTCTATAAACAAATGTTTTACAGATAAATATAATGTACTTTTATTCGTATTCTTTCGTCTTCTTCCAACTTGTACACGACTGAACCATTCGCGCCTTCGAGCTGCCTGCCAATATGGCTACCAGTTCCAATAAACAAATGTTCAATGTTCGCGTCCATTTACAACAAGTCTTAGTCCTTATTGGTCTTTGTTTACCTACGTATATGTAGTATATACTCAGTCTTCGTATGCAGAGTATTTGACTGTCATGTGCGATCAATACACCGGGAAGCGGTTTCAGATTCTCTGTGCATTAATCTCACGATGTTGTTATTAGAAATGAATATACCTATATATATACACTGATTATTGCTTAATTTTGAACTGTACTTTGTAGGTCCACGTTTCTCATTGAACCCTATCCGTATATTTGCTGGGAGCTTCTCCGGTGCAGTATTATATTCTAATCCAAAATACATTTCACCTAATATAGTAAGTTATAATATGAATTACTTTTGATTCTTAAACAGTAGAATTCTTTTTCATTTCATATGTATATATATATGCATAGCGTTATAGTTAATTAAGAAAAAAAACAGTAGGATGACATACTGAACATGTTAAAACCACACATTCTAACGTTTGCTTTCAGCTTTCCTGAGATAGTCACTAATTTCGTATTAACCTCTAATATTAGTTGGAGGATTTCATCATGGGCTGATATCAGTTAGAGAACTATTGGAAAACCTGCAGGAAGTACTGAGCAGTTGTTTCGTCAGCCTAGTTTGGGACTCTTCAGAGGTACGCATCCACCGCCACGGTGCAAGCTCAGGACCTCCTGGTTACAAGACTAGCGAGCTCGTAGACCCTTAAGCCACTGGGACCTGATTCAGTGGCCAGCCCATGAATTCTAACTTCTGCCAATTCATGACACAGTCCAACCACTTCGCAATGTCTTCTTCGATAATGAAATCCTGCAACCAATCAAACCGAATCCCTACAAAACCGTTAATTAAAAATTGATCTGATGCCCACTAGCGACTGGCCCTATTCAGGCAGTGACCTGGGGTTCTAGTGAGAAACCGTGACCACTAGGTTACAGCAGGTTGAAGGTGAGGCAGTAACTCATCATCGAAGAAGACATTGCGAAGTGGTCGCGTTGTGTATCATGAATTGGCAGCAGTTAGAATTCATGGGCTGGCTATGGGATCGAGTTGCAGTGGCTTAATAGTCTACGAGCTCACTGGCCTTATAACCAGAAGCTCCTGGGTTCAAACCTTCTGTGGTGGGTGCGCACTGATGTCAGCTCATGATGAAATCCTCCAACTTCTCCCTAGTTAGTTAGAACTCAATCGTGAAGATGTAGTTCAATGATCTTGATTTGATTTTGATTTACAGCTTGATTCCACACCGTATTTTCAGTACAAGCATGGAATTTTCAGCATGGATATCGGTAGCCCAAATTCAGGCCGACCATAGATATCGGGTGTGCGCCGGCAGGGGATCGAACGCCGGACGATATGCATGGTCGGCGAGAGTCCTAACCACTGTGCCACCGACGCACATCTACCAACCATTGGGTGCCGAGTTCGAGTACCGTTTCGCCTACCAGGCAGCGTATCACTAACCGCCAGACACAATAGTTGTGACTAACTGCCAACTGCATGGAACTTTAAGTGATTACTGAGTATAGAAGTTAGTTACCCCCTGTATGGAGCTTTGAATCAAACTTATCGTATAAGAGCTACTGACACTACCTAGTTGCCTAGTCTGAAGTAAGTAAGTGATCCAGGAACTCGAATCCTTCAGCCATTATTATTGGCCAACAGAGCAGAGTGTTTAAGTAAATGAGCCAGTTCACCACTTCTACTTATTCTAATCATTATTACTAATTTTACTACTTGTAACGCAGTAATTAATACATTCTAATGCAATACTTCTCTTTCAGATTCGAAGTACTCTGCTGTCTAAAAAACAGAACAGGTATATTGAACGTACACATGATAAAATGGAATCACGTAAACGTAAAAAGGAGATGAAGCAAATCTTTCCAGTTGATGAATTAGATGAAATTTTTGAATAAATTTTGTACGACTAAGTTCGTCTTTCTCTGTCTCTTTTTTAAAAACGTGGGAAATAAAGTTAAGTAGTTCAAAGTGTGTATAGTCGACTACATGATTACCTTTAAAAGTTGAAATTAGACAGACGTCCAATAGTTATCGCGCTTGTTTTTATCATTTTTGGAACATAAAACAAAAGAAAGGAATGTTATCAACTTCTTTTTGTTGTTACTTAGTTACTTAGACTAAAACAAATGCCTTTCTGATAGTTAAAGCAAATAGAATCACAGAAAATTCACAGTGGATCATTGGAATTATTAAAAAGACGGTTGCAGCGAAGAAAATTTTGATTTTCGACGAAGTCGTCAACTGGACGGACAGCTGTACATTCGTGTACTTATATCACATGCGTGAGAAAGTTCCAGAGTTATTTCCGGTCAGAGGTCAGATTAATTAAATTACTAAGTGTAATAAACAGATGATAAGTAGTGGCATTATTCTGGAAATATTTCAGGCCAAAAATCAAATTAAAAATTACAGTGTGTAATAATCAGGAAGATCGGGTAGAAAAGACAAAATAGGATTATAATTATTAGATAACTAGTCAGTTTGGATAATTACGGGTTAAGGATGTGTTATTAACGAAATGGGTAGTAGGTTTGGATAAATAAAAATAAAAACAGTAACCAAATCTAATAATGCAGGTAGGGATTTACAAAGGTAAATATGAACGAAATATTCCCATATTGAATCATAAAAAAAGGCACAAACAGCGAAGAAAATTTTCCCTTTCCGACGATTCATTTTCATGAGCTGTACAATCGTAATTATAATTAACAAAGGAATCATAAGGCAACCAATCAGATACTGGTAACTTTGTCCTTGAAAAAATGTATTACATAATGTAGGTGTAGGAATTTAAGGAACAGAATTGCATACGTATAAATTAATAAAAGTGTAGAATGCAATTGAAAGGTTAAATATGAAAAATGTTATTAATAAACAGTAATATATGGTAATAATGTGGATGATAAATAATAATAATAGTAACTTCTTCTTTTATTGTGTAAGTTACTATTATTATTATTATTATTATTTCCATCATCCACATTTTATTACCAATATATTACTGTTTATTAATAACATTGCTTTTTCATACATATTTTATACAAAAAGCCTTTCCACTAGTTCCTGTCCATTCTACACCAGCTTATTGATTAGTCATTATCTCACACTTATTACGTTATGCCAACTTCTGTCCTTCTAATTCAATTAGCACCCTTCTTACACCTTACATTATGTAATACATTTTTTCAAGGACAAAGTTTACCAGTATCTGATTGGTTGCCTTATGATTCCTTTTTAATTATAATTACGATTGTACAGCTCATGAAAATGAATCGTCGAAAAGAAAAGGTAAATATAACAAATAAACGGGAAGGTTGGACAAGAAAGGTAATAGGATAATCATTATTGGTGAGACTGACTTTTCGTGATGGCCACGATAGGGACAACTGTTGGACGTACACTTCCTTTTGGGTACATAGAATAGGTTTGAGTTTTTGGATCACCAGTGCCTCAGCTATTCCTAGATGTCATGATTTCACTCCCTTTGGTAGATTGGATCGGATCTTTTATATAGCTTTGAAAGACTTTTCATATGGGGCTGAATGTTCAGAATTTACCAGATGTTCTGTTATAAAACTGTGTATCCCTTTGCTAACCATGCTGGATAGTGTTCCCGCGTGCGTTTTACAAGCGGACGCATGGTACAGCAAATGTACTCAGCTCCACACGAGCAAGTGAACTTGTATATGCATGTTGAAGTGACCCAATGCGACAGCTTGTCTTTCACGTGTTGGGTGAGTAGTTTCTTGCAGGAGAATGTTATTCGTAGGCTGGCGGCGAAGTATGTTTTACTGAGAGACTTCGAAAGCCGTCTACGGAGAATTTCTGCTTCGGTATCACTTTTAAATTCGAGGTTCAATATCAGCATCCTTTTGGGGGCGACTTATACCTTTTCAGGTGTTTCCTTTGGTTTTAGATTCTTGTCTATAAATCTGGCTGGGAATTCATTTTCTATCAAGGTCCCTCGGAGATTTTGTAATTCTTCATCGATTAACTCTTCAGTGCAAATCTTCCGGATCCTCGAGGAAAGAGAGTATATTAGGTTTCTCTTTCTGCTTAGAGGCACACAGCTTTGAAAGTTAATAAATTGTCCGTCTCAAGTGGGCTTTCTGTAGATGTATCTTCTTAGCGAGTTGTCCGCATTCCTTCTTAGCTGAACGTCGAGGAAATGAAATATTGAGTTAGACTCAAGTTCCAGGGTGAAATCGATGTTTGGGTGGGTTTTATTGAGATGAAAGTATCATCGACGTTTCTCTTGTAGAGATGGAGGTCGTCGATAGTTGATGATAAGGAGTTGTTTTCTAGACTAGCTATGAAGCAATCGGTGCAAATTAGAATCTAGCATTACTGTGTTTCGTTCGGTCCATGTTGCCCGTAATTCACACTTTATGTTAAACAGTAATAAACGTATAAACAAAAGCTCTGTGGTGTAACAGTGTCTGCAGGTATTTTCAAGAACAATATTATCTTTATATTACAAAAGAAGTATGTACTATTTGTGAGGGAACCTGTTATTTAGTAGCCTTACTGCTCAATTTCTAACGGACAACTCACTAACACAAGGGCTAGCTGTGTTCACCATGAAAGATTCATTTCAAGAGAGCTTTATATGTCTTTGGAAGTGTGTGGGCAGAGAGCGTAGTTCTCAGGGTCAACCTAATTTAAGTCTCCCTCTCTCCAGAGTGGGGAGACAACACAGCTAGCCATTTTAGGGAAACACCCTACTACTAATATTCTCTCAGCAGTACGACTTCGCCCACAGACCCCACCCCCCACCTAGCAGAGGGGGGGCAGCTGTTTCTAGTCTAACAGCTATCCCAGACAAATCTTTCTTGCATGGTCAAACCTGTAGAAAAACTCGTTCCAGCCAGTATAGCTCACTGAGTCATTACGATATGCGAGCGAGCGTAACCATCACACGTTAAGATAGCAAATATCGGTCGGGTCTACAGACACACCTTGATACTGGAGAGCGCCAGCCAATGTAATTACGACACCTAGATATCAATTCACAGAGTGCACCGTAATGGCTAATCTCCTAGGTTGTTGTTCCCACTAGTTACTCTTTCCAGTACTTTTTTTGTTTTGAGCTGGTGTTTGAAATAGCTATCAGAGAACGCAAATACCATTGAAAAGTCCTTCAAAGCTATATACAAGATCCGATCCAACCTACCAAAGGGAATGAAATAAATAAATAGCTGACATTGTATCCAAAACTCAAGCCTATTCTATATGTCCAAAGAAATCGTCCAACCGTTGTCCCTACCGTAGCCATCATGAAAAGTCAGTCTCACCAATAATGATTATCCTTTTATCTTTCTTGTCCAACCTTCCCGTTTATTTGTTAAATTTACCTTTGTAAATCCCTATCTGCATTATTAGATGATTTTTTTCTAATAATTATTTCTTTCGACTTCCTGATTATTACACACTGTAATTTTTAATTTGATTTTTGCCTGAAATATTTCCAGAATAATGCCACTACTTATCATCTGTTTATTACACTTAGTAATTTAATTAATCTATTGCCGGAATATTCTGATAAATACTGGTCTTTTGTTTTGAATGACACTCTTCCCTTCACGAAACCTCCGAACTCCATGAGCATAACTCTGAATTTCAATTAACCAACTACACACAATAAATGGATATTAGGAATGATAAGCAATGTCTTTTTTATATTAGTTAGCGTACAGAGAGCAGTTGGCAATCGATTGTTTTACAAAAAGACAAATCAGTGAGAATACAATCAGAAAAAAAAATTAAAATTAAATAAAAAAGCTTCTGATTAATGATTAGTATACAAAGAATGAGAAAAGATGTAATATTATCAATAATAGTAATGGTAATAGACAGTAAGAATTTCTCCCTGGGAAATTACAAATAGTAATAAGAATAAGTAAAAAGCCAAAGGAAAATACAATAATAATGATAATATTAAGCGAAAAAAATTAGATAAATGAAAAGATCCGCTGTCACATCGGTTTCCTTTCTTAATGGAATAAAAAAACTTCATCATTTATCACATGAAGGAGGAGAGTGTGAGAGAGAGATCGTGACATTTGATTTGGTAATGAGGTTATTTATCATTCATGTATTTATTCCATTGATGATATCTACAAATAAGAAAAAGTAGGTAAGAGAGATTCAAGTGTTCGTTTGTAGGGATTTGATTGGTTCAAGGATTTTCATTATGAGGTAACATTAGTTAGAGAACCATTGGAAAACCTGCCAGGGAGTACTGGACAGCTGTTTGGTCCTAGTTTGGGACTCTTCACAGTACGCACCCACCGGGAAACATTTTAACGTGCTATTCCGTTAGGAAGCGAAAAAACTAATTGTATAAAATCATGCGGTCTATAGTCATTGGCAAAAACTGGTGAGGAATCATATTCCTGTCCACGCTAAACAAAATATTAAGTAGCGTTATCTTAGAGAGATAAAGAGATGCTTTGGATACAAAACTCCGGCCAACCCGGACCTAACTGGATTCAGGAAAACCAAATCATATATAGATCAATTTGCAGTGCTACGCATCATCATCATAATCATCATCGAGAGAAGCATTGAATGGTAGTCAAATATTTTTATGTGGTGTGTTTCTGAGTGATAGTTAATTTGCGAAGCTTCATGCTTACAATCTATCGACATAGTTGTGAAGTTTTAACTACTGAGGTGACTGACTAGGATCTGTGTTAAACATGCCAAGACACCGACGTCATCGACAAACTCTACGTTAGCTGGAAAAGAGTTTGAGATGGTCAGGTCAATGCAAAACACAGCATTATTTCCAAAATTTAGAGGTTTTATAGCCAACAAACTGTATAGTTCTTTGTAAAAAAAACTGTCGGAAGACACAAACACAGTTACCTTGTAGTGAGACCTAGCTGCAAGCCAAAAATTTTAGACAGCAATTTACGTCAATGTTACGTCCCGAATCGGGGTCATGAGAAAAAAAAACAATAACAAACCCTAACCTTGAGGAACTCAACAACTGATCACAGCAGACTTAACGTGTGCAAATACGATTCACAGATATGTGGCTTAACTATCTGAGAAACGGTCTCAAGCGATGCAGAATAACCTTCAGCAAGAAAACAACCAATCAGACGAGGTTGCTTCTCCGCTAACAATAACGCTAATAACAATGTACATAGAAATCTATAAATATCTGTTGATTTTCTCAAAAAACGATCTGTTGCCTGACCCTTGTCTTCTGTCGTTACATTTGGTGTCGCTGCCTGCCAACAAATGGAAAGCCTATGCCCTGCAGTTTTTGATGGACACATGGATCTTCGAGGCTGTTGCACAGTTAAGTGGCGTCAAACCCTCAGAATGGGAGGTCGGGCGAAAGCGGAATATGAAGGTGTGGGGAGAAACAAAATGTAACGACAGAAGAGAAAGGCCAGGCAGCAGGTCGTTTATTGAGAAAATCAAGTGATATTTATAGATTTTTATGTACATTATTATCAGCGTTATTGTTAGCAGAGAAGCAGCGTCATCTGACTGGTTGTTTTCTTGCTGAAGGTTATTCTGTCATCTCTTTGTTGCCGTTTCTTAGACAGTCCGGTGATATATCTGCGAATCGTATCCGCCCACGCAAAGTCTGTTGTGATTGGTTGTTGAGTTCCTCAAGGTTAGGCTTTGTTCTTGTTTTTTTTCGTGACCCCGATTTGGGGCGTAAGCATTGACGTAAATTGCTGTCTACAATTTTCGGGTTGCAGCCAGCTATCACCACAACCTTACCTTAGTGATTGATTTTATTTTCATAATTAGATTTTTAAACTGAAACATAATTACGTAATATAAGGAGGATACAAAGTAGTGTAGATAGTTGGAAGCCTGCTTACCGGCCCTCGTCAGCAAGGTGTATATCTACAACCTTGAAGGAACTGATACTCCCTTGTGAGGTGTTACATTATTCAGCGAGATATTACCACTGAGCGCCTATTTGGATCTACCAATTGACCACAACATATAAAGTACCACTTCAGATGGATACCGGAAAGTGTTTTTTTTAACAACCATGCTATAATGTTTGAAAACTCATCGAAAAAACAAAAAAACATTCAAGTGTTGGTTTGTAGGGATTTGATTGGTTACAGGATTTTCATCATGAGCTGACATTGGTTAGAGAACCATTGGAAAACATGGGAGTACTGGACAGCTGTTTCGTCCTAGTTTGGGACTCTTCAACAGTACGCATCCACCGGGATTCGAACCCAGGACCTTCTGGTTACAAATACTCGCCGAAGACATTGACTAGGGATCGTGAATTGGCAGAAGCTAGAATTCATGCACTGGCCATTGGATCGAGTCCCAGTGGCTGGCTTAATGGTCTACGAGCTAGCTCGCCTTGTAACCAGAAGGTCCTGGGTTCGAATCCCGGTGGGTGCGTACTGATGAAGAGTCCCACACTAGGCTGACAAAACAGCTGTTCAGCACTCCCTGCAGGTTTTCCAACGGTTCTCTAACTGATGTCAGCTCATGATGAAAATCCTGTAACTAAAAAAACAGTTCGACAAAAATATAGTACAACAACAAAAAAAGCCAACTTATCCCAGTAGCTACTTACCTTCACAAATAATCTTCTTCTATATCCTAAAAAAAGGGGTTGAAGGAAAATTTTTTTTCTTTTAAGATTCTGTTGAATCAGAAATAACATTTTGTTTAGAAGCTGATTGACTGGTTACTACTACTGACCTGTCTGTACAATGATCATCGCCATCATGACAAGTATTCACTGTTGATAATATTTTATTATTAGTAGTATTATCATTTGACCCATTTATCAATGAATCAGGAGGACAACAAGACTGTTGGTGTTGGTGTTGATGCTGATGATTATGAGATGGGTGTGTATTCAAGGTGAGTAGACGCATTAACAACTTATCGTTTTGTACACCGTTAATAAATTCATCCAATGAAAGACGATTATCTCCGTCTAGATCCATCAGTTGAAAAATTTTCTCTGTTCGCCTTTCTGGTGTCGCTTCAGAGTCAGTAAATTCAACAGCTGATCCAACCATTGCATATATTGCCTAGGTGAGAGAAAAAACAAAATAAAATAAATAAAGGTGGTACCACAGCTGAGATCCTGAAGAATCACTTGTGCAGATCATTGAGGAAAGCCTTCTCTTTATGGCTGAGCTACGCTACGTATCAATTTCTACAGCCGACAAATGAACCCCTATTCTATGTTCGAGAAATAAGGATAAACTACCTAATTTTGTCTCTTCTATGTATATCTACCAGTTTGACTGCAGCTGCGGAGCCAGCTACATTGGGTGTACAATTAGGCAGGTTCATCGTCGTATTTCCGAACATCATCCAACATGGTTAAGCAAGGAACAAACAAGATCTATTCGTAGCTCCATTTTAGCACACATTGTAGGCAGTGAGGATAAGGTTGATGTTAATACAGCATTTAAAATTATTTATCGCATTCCGACTAATCTTAACTTTGCTCTACGAGTTTGTCTTCTACAGACAGCTGAAGCAATAGGAATCCACCTGAAGAAGCCAAACTTGTGTGTTGAGAAGAAATTTGTACAGTCACTTTCCTTACTTCCATTATGGGTAAATTTTATTTTGATAGAGTCTCACAGTGTTATACAGTAATATTTACTGATGACGTTTCGAGCACAATTTATTGCTCATAATCATAATCAAATATTACTGTATAACACTGTGAGACTCTATCAAAATAAAATTTACCCATAATGGAATTACACTCTACCACAGTGCCCAAGTTTTATTCTTATATCACTTTCCTTACCTTGGTCATCGCTACCTGACTGTATAAACCGGACTACTTCGCCCCCCTGCCCCTAAACCTTTAAAATTATAAAAATTATAATTGTCCAAATTAATTTATTTTTTCTGACCACATCATCTTTAATTACGTGTTATCCTTGTAAAATTAATTTATTCTAACCAATTCTACCTTTTAAATGTGTATTGATTTTCTTCGTTAATTATGAACCCATTGACATTTTGACACTTTAATTATTGTTAACAAACATATCAGTGCCAATTGATTGGTAAACTGTTGTGTATTGTAATAAAAATGCTATGGATATATATTAGAGTAGAGCCAGAGTGAGATGAGGATCTAATTGAAAAGTAAATATTTCTTCGCTCAATCTTTCTGTTTTCCAAATGTCTAAATGGGGATTTTTTCTATATTGAAATGATCAATGGATGTGTGAAGGATAAACTGCCGCTTTGGGCCACCTCAATGTATGTGTTTATAAATTCACTTGCTCGTGTGGAGCTAGTTTTATATTGGCCGCACAAAGCGTACACGCTTTCCAAACGCATTCCTGAACATTATATCCGGCATGGTTAGCAAGGGGACAATGCAAGACAGACAATTACTAGCTCAATTCTCGAGCATTTGGTGAACTCAAGCCACGTAGCTCAACCAGAGTCGTTTTTCAAGATCATCTACAAGGTGAAGCCAAATGGTACAAAGGGCGTCAGGTTTCGGCTTTTGTGTATGGCGGAGGCGCTGGCAATTCGTCGATACAACTCCGAACTCTGTGTACAGAAAAAGTTTGTCCAGTATCTTATTCTGTTACTAGTCGTTCCCTGTAAAAAAAATTTCGATTTTTTCTTTTCCTTTAATATTTAATTCATTATTATCACTCTCATATGTTCCTTTTGTACATTTCACACCCTCTTCAAACTTGTTAAATTGACACTCAACTAACTTTATTCTCACTAAATAGCAAGTTTAACCTTATCAAATTTCTATCTTTGTGCCATTGAGTACCACGTAATGTACAACTTTTAATTTTCACTTCCAAAAGCCACTTCTAAGTAATTATATCAATTTGTACCCTCAATTACTCAATAATAGACCACTGTATATTTTTGTAAGTATAAATACGACTGTACAGACAGCCTCTGAAGATGATTTCGTCGATCAAGAAAATTTTATTCGCTGAATTTGTTTTTTATTTTTTTCATGACTCAATGGGTATTTTCGGTGATTTAAAATAAAATTCATTGGAACACTAGAGTGATGAAAATGAATAGGACTGATGAACCCAATGAGACTGGAATTGAATAACTAACCTTCGACTCTTTTCTTTTCAAAGATGCGAATGACTTTTGTGAAAGAGCTAAAAAGAGATAGTTTTAGAAGTTTTATGGTGAAACGGATCATTCTGTCGCTCTGGGAATGAAGTTATCGACTGCTGGAAACCTCAAAAGTCACATACATCACTTAGCAAGTGACAATCAATGAAGCATTAGTCTTCGTGTTAGATAGTTGGAGCCAATCGGTAAGAAGCCCTGCTGAGACCTAGGTATCCTGTTTGTTGGCACTCGTCAACAAGACGTGTCTCTGCAACCTTGAAGGAACACTCAAGTCCCCTCTAAGATTAGCACACAGGCGTCGCTCAATGTTTCAGTAGGAGACATTACCGCTGGGCTGTTTAGGCTCACGACTAATCTCATGTAGGACTGTACTGGATACATTGATTGGTTACTCACTAGTGACCAATCAATAGGAGCATTACCATATCACTAATCTTATCAAAAAATATTCTTTTTTTTCAAACATGTATTAAGCCAATTGGAAAAAGGTGCTGTATTGATTCAAATATTAAGATGAGTATGTGAAGACCACCTGAATAGGTGAAGTAGTGAGAACAAGAGAGTGTTTATCCAGTGGATAGTGACATTTTCGTTTAATATGCATTCACCTAAAGTAGTGTTGTGGTGAGAGAGCTGTCTGCAAGCCAAAAATTGTAGACAACAATTTACGTCAGTGTTCACGTCTCGAATCAGGGGGTCGTGAGAAAAACAATAGCAAAGCTTAACCCTGAGAAAATCACCAGCCTATCACAGCGGAGTTAAAGTGTAGAAATATGATTCACAGATAAATTACTTGATTTTCTGAGAAACGACCACAAAGAGATAACAGACGAGGTTGCTTCTCCGCTAACAATAACGCTAATAATAATACACATAAAATCTATAAATACCTGTTGATTTTCTCAATAAATGAGCTGTTGCCTGGCCCTTGTCTTCTGTCGTTACAGTGTGATAGTCAAGTGGTTTGACAGACTACAGAACGCAAATACCTTAGTTACAGTGAGTGTGATGTTTTTTCCCCATCCCTCTGCGTTCTGAGGAGAACACACGGCTTCAAAGCTCTGTTATTTCCTGGATAGGGTTGCTAGCCAAATACAGAAGCTTCACCATTCAACTGGACTTGCTGGCGGCTGGCTAAATGAAGTTCGGGAGTGCGTCGGTCGGGAATCGAACCCGAACTACGTGCTTGGTTGGCGAACTATTCTATTATCTAACCACTGACACACTATGCTGGGTGCTAATTATGTAAACAGATATAAGTAGTATAAAAAGTGTCAATGAGAGAGCCACAGAAAAAGAAACGAGAGAAGACTTCCACTACTAATAACTGACAACACATGCACACACATACAGCGGGACAAAATATCCCTGATAGAGAATAATTGATATTATTTGCAAATGGTAGTAAAGTCTATCCAGAGTTCATCATTTTATTGATGTTTATTGTACTTCGTTAGAATTAACAACAGAGACTTTCCTCATAAGTTTTGTTCGCTTCAACAGTATTTCGTGATATCTGAAATTAACTCAATACCAAATTCTAAACCGTACAAGTAGCGATAGATTATGCTCCGTAGACTAAATAACTAACTACCAAAATGCTGGCCAGCTGGTTTCAGCGTAGAACTTTACACTGATGTGCAACAGTTCGAATTGCCACACTGTATGTAGCACACAAAGCAAGAGAAGAGAGAGAGATAATAAACAAAGAAACGAGGCAAAAAGAATAGCAATATCGAAGAACAATAGAATTTTATTAGATATTATAAATCACAAGTAGTGAATGCATCTGCGCCAGCCATTGAGAACGATTTTGAGCCATATCACCAATTGTCTCCAGCCTTCATTGGTTTTTACCATCCCGAGGAACCCAACCAGCCAGTCAGGAAGTCTACACCTCCCTACGTGGCTGGCTGGCTTAAAATAACTGCTGTGGATTTAATTGACTGATGGAGCCATGTTTTCGTTTAACCACCCCTAGCTTTCTCTTTTCCAACCTGATCAATCCTATGTCAGCTAACATTACCCGTTGTCGAGGAAGGCGATGGCTAGGCTAAGCATGCGTAACACATGTCCTAACCATCTCAACCGGCGTAACTTCACAACCTCGTCGATTGATTTCCCCTCTTTAACTAGCACTCGACTGTGGCATAACCTCAATACTGCTAACCTTGTTATATCACTTATCACGGGAGATAGATCCCATATACCTATAATCAAAGACAGCTAGCCAAGCTTTTCATGTTTCCCACTTTCAATGCCATAAAGGAGAACAAAGCGAACTGCTGAGTAGTAGACAAACTCTTTGGTCAACAGTCAACCGGATATCACGTCTACTAAGCCAGAGATGGCGTAATTCGGCAAATGCCACGTGAGCCTTCTGTATCTGTGCTGAGATTTCGTCAGCGATCAACCTATTGGCATTGGCTGATGCAACTTCCCAAATAAGTGAAGTGACCAACACTGTATGTCCAGCAGTCCACAGTTCTTAGCGAGTCTACCCTTCCACGTCTGCTGGAGAACACCCCTGCCGTAGCGTGAAGGCACTGAATAGGGCTTACTTGGCACAGGCTATGACCGCGCAGCCTTGTGCGATAATTTCGAGAGTAAGATCGAAGTTTATCCACCTTCCGTTGAATCACGTCGTTTATGAGATTTAGGAGTGGGTTGGCTGGGAGTCGAACACAGAGCTCCTGAGTGGCCGAGGCGCATTCTACCATTGAACCACCACGTTTAGATTAGAAAAAGGGAAACAATGTGATTCAAGATCACAAGAATGCTGTAAAGTTGGAAGATAAAACAAAATGATACCCGATAGGATAGGGCATAATTATTTCCAAGATAAGAAAAACAACAACAACAACGACAACAGTGATTGTCCAACATTTAGTGTAATCCTTAAGCAAAATATTGTTTGATAAAGAAGGCTGTAAAT